GTGTCCGCGTCTCCCAACATCTCCAGACAATTCTCCACCAGTTGCGGGTCAATTTTTACGGGCTCTCGAGAGCTCTCTTCACCCTCCTCCACTTTCGCCTCCTCTTTCGTCTCCGCCTTCTCTTTCTCACCGCCCAAGTCACGAGTTACAAACTGAGCGGGAAAAAGACCTTCTCCATTGCGGTTACTCCCCTTCCACCAGTTGGGATCAGAGTCGTCCAGCAATGTAAAGATCTCTCCAGCCTTAAATGTGATTTCGTTGTCCTCTGCCGCCTCGAAATCGAAAAGAGCACGAACGCAACCCAAATCCTTCTTCCCGTTCGTGAAAGTGGTATTTGATTGAAGAGCTGGATATGCGCCTGAAGCTGACTGCGATGGTGCTTGTGTGTTTTGCTGCGCTGAAGTATTTTGAGCGTCATTCAAGGACAATGCTATTGCTAAATGGAAAAGTAAGCACAATTTCATCAGTGTCCTGAAGAGGTGAGGGTGAGATGGTAAATAGCCGAGTGAATTTATGCCTCGCAGCCCGGCAGCTCATGGTGCAAATCTTGGCTATGCCTCAACTGACAGTTCAGCCACGGCGAAATCAGCGACATGAGTGCAAAAGCCCTCCCTAAGGTCTCGATCATGAACGACACCACCGTCACTATAAATATGGTCGTGCAATTGGTGCCGATTAAGATGACGCCGAGTGCAACGCCCATATCATAGGCTATTTCGGTCCACTAGGGTAATATGTTTAAATAAAAGGGCTGCAGGAAGACAAATATGAACATATTACTATGTGAGTTGTTCTTAAAAACATCATTCTTTGCAATTACTGACGCTCCCACCGGAGCCCAGCAGCATACGGAGTAAAGGATGTGAAAAATATAATTAATGATAAGGAATGGCACAGGAGACTGTCACAGTGGTAGCGACAGTCGACTTTGTGTTGATATTCAGGTGACGTAGACCTTAAGCGAACCCTTAGCAAAAAGTATGGGCTGGCAAGTGACTGGAAAACCCATATGCTAATGTCAATCACGAGACCCTACCTTTATTCGCAAAAAACGCCGAGAGGGAAGGCGACAAGTTTTGACACAGTAGCTACCCCGTCAACTGACAAGTTAATCCATCATAACATTTCTTCATTTTGTAGATTTGACTGTGAAGGCCGTCAACCGACGAACCGGGGAAAAATTGACAAATTCAAAGTCAGTGGATAGTATGGGTGCAGACACAACAACAGACAAGGCACAAATAACTCATGGGAAGGATGCATAGGTCACAGAGACGTCCAAAAGAACCAGTGATTAAGTATTGGAAGCAAACCTGAAGAGCAAATGGATGAGGATGGGTAAAACGACAAGAACAAGCCTGTCGAACTCGTTGTAGGACCACCGTGTTACTTGTAAGTGGAGAAGTTTTGAAGGCAACACATTATCCTCGCAAATGTACTCATACAAGTTAAGTGGCAATTAAGCTTCCGCACCAACTTCACTGAGGCATACTGTGTTGGTTCAGTGAAGAGCGAAAAAGACACCGCCGTGGTTTGTGAGTCATGCTTCACTTCACTTTTTATGCCACAAAAGTCAATGGCCTTCATAAAATTTCAGATATTTTAACTGGAAACAACCAGAATTCATCTAACGACAACGCCGATGGCGAGAAAACAAGGACGCTAAATGCAACATCTTAGCAAACATGTAGACCATGAGCAAGAAGCAATAAGTGACGAACCTTTAGCGATATCCGCCTCTTCCTTTGCCTGTAGATTCCGGTCAATTCGCCTATTCCTCAATGCCTTCTCCACCTACACAGTAATACCAAACTAAGTCCCATTTGCCGAAGTGGAAATACTTATGTGACAAAATACTTACCTTCAACGTCCTTTCCAAATCACAAGCATGCGACGGGTGCTCATGCTGAATCCATGCATAGAGACCCGCTAGGAGGCTAGAAAATAAGAAAGGTAAAGACTTGCCTAAATTCAGGATTGTCCTTGTAATCCTCAGCCCACTGTTTGGTGAGCTCGATAAGCTTCATTCTCGGTGTTGTTTGAAGTTTCTATAGATTAGGATGTGATAATTTGAGCAGAAAGACATACTGGATACTTCTGCTTAAAAGTACCGACAAAGTCCTTAGATGACATTTCACGAGCAAACGCGTTGCCTACATTTTTGACGCAGGCATCAAGCAGCTAAAATATCAGTACGAAATGAAACGAAATGTTTTACTGTTATTGCTTTCATAGAAATGTTGGGGTTCTGTTGGAAAATTTTCCTGACAATGCATTTGAGGCATTGCTTGGGCCTAGAACAGCAAATGCTACAAGATTACAATAAGCCTACTGTCCAACAGCGTAAGTATCGGAAATGTGCAAAATTTGAGCCCAGTTATCATCAAGGGTTCGAGGGTCACAGCACTTTTCTAAGGCAGACTATTAAGACACGCAAGACTAATTTACCGATAGCAGCCTCCATCGCTTGGGCGTTTCGTTGAACTTAATGTTGGCTCCCAACCAACTTAATGGAAGGATTGAATTGGG